GCCTTAGAAATCAAGTAAAACACCAACATGCTGAGATATGTGACACGCCCTATCATGACGTCAAATTCGACAAGAGGTGGAGCTTAGAAAACCACAGCCCGACTCTGTGTCTGCTCCCGTTTCACCAGCCTTTCGAGCCCCGTAATAAGCATTTTTCCTGATCATGAGATCTCCGCTTGACCATATATGCCTTTTGGCGGTAAAGCCCATTTTATAACGAATGATTCATTTGCAGTCTTTATTGATGAGACAAAGACAGTGTTCCAAAAAAATTGAAAAAAAAAATCGAATTTGTCAGACCTAGCGGCGATAAGAGGCAATGCAATATAGAAAACGCAAATAAGCAGTAAAGGTCAACATCTGTGTAAAAATGTTTGTTATTGAAAGAAAGGTCTGTACTCATTAAAGAACTAAAAATGCCGGTTGCATACTAATTGGGAACACAGTTCGCGGCTAGTGTACACAAACTACAAACCAATCCATCGTTGTGTGTTCTTTCACAGAGATTTTATTTAACGTGTTTTAACTCTGATGGTATTTCAGTCTGTTTCAAAAGAAACGTTATCTGTTTATAACGTGTTTCTTACCACAACCTCGTGTGATATTAACCGTTTTTTTTAATAATCCGAAAAAATAACCTTTAATGGTTGAATTACCAGCAACAAGGAGAGAGCGAATCTATACGGTGTCTACAGTTTTTTTTTCTGTTTAGAAATCCTGGTCGTAATCCTCAAGTTTTAAAGAAAAAAAGAAAACAGAGAGAGTTTGTTTTTGTTTTTGAATTTTTTCGCGCAAAGCTACACGAGGGCTATCTGCGCTAGCCGTCCCTAATTTAGCAGTGTAAGACTAGAGGGAAGGCAGCTAGTCATCACCACCCACCTGCCAACTCTTGGACTACTCTTTTACAAACGAATAGTGGGATTGAACGTACACCATAACGCCCCCACGGCTGAAAGGGCGATCATGTTTGGCGGGACGGGACAGAGAGAGAGAGAGAAATGTTTTGTTCAAACTTTTGTTTGGGATAAAGGTAAACTTGGAGTTTTTAGTGTTACCTCAAATAAATTATATTTCCCACTTTTAAGCTCTACAAAATATTAATAAAAGAAAATATGTTTTCATCTATCGTAATTTTAAAATACTTAAATACCACTCAGAAGGAGCTCAACAATTAACTTTAAAAAAACAGCCTGTAAAAGCTTGTTACTCGAATCAAGTCTGTGGTATTGAAAGAAAATATGACATTTTAAGATGGCCCGGCATGGCCATGTGGTTAGGGCGCTCGACTCGCAACCTGCGGGTCGCGGGTTCGAATTCCCGTTGCACCAAACATGCTCACCTTTTCAGCCGTGGGGGTGTTATAATGTGACGGTCAATCCCACTATTCGTTGGTAAAAGAGTAGCCCAAGAGTTGGCAGTGGGTGGTGATGACTAGCTGCCTTCCCTCTAGTCTTACACTGCTAAATTAGGGACGGCTAGCGCAGATAGCCCTTGTGTAGCTTTAGGCGAAATTCAAAACAAAGAAACATTTTAAGAAGCGTCTACGTTACTGCTTCCTCGGCTAAATGGTAAGATTTCAAAATCCCTTGGAAATAATAATTAAAAACAAAGGTAAAATGCATCTTGTTTTTGTTTCTACTATGCAAACTTAATCTCAGTTAGTGGCCGAGTGCGGCCCAATGGTCAGCGCGTCAGATGGAGCTGATTTCAGAGGTTTGCGTCCCGTCACTACAAATATATATATATATATATATATATATATATCGTACTCCGCACCTTGGGGCTGTAGGTGTGCATTATAAGAGTGACGGCCAAATGCCGTCATTCGGTCTGATAAGAGTAGCCCAAGAATCCACAGTGGTTGATACGATTTCAAAATTAGAAACGGTTGGTGTAGATTTATGCGAAACCCAACGAAAAAATGCGGAGTTCGATTCCCCGCGTAGTTATCTTATTAATACGTGACTTTGCACTAAAACAAAACTAAAAATTCATCGTCTAGATTCAAAAAAAGAAGAATATCTTATTGAAATACAAAAATTAGAAGAAACAAAGCGGTACGTGTGTAAAACATATGAAGACGTATCCAATGAGTTACCATATAGCATGTTTGTTTTATAGTACTGGTATTCTTGGCCATTATTGGATAAACTGGAACATTGAATGCTATATATATTCCTAGCATTAAAGGATGAGTTGGAACTTAGAATGCTAGAAGTTCCTGGTCATTAAAGGATAAGTTAGAATAGAATGCTAAATGTTTTATGAGTCTTATTTTGCAACTTTATAATGGTGTCGTATGATGTGTTAATTTTATTGAGAGACTCTCATGATGTTATAAGTTCTTTTGAAACGTACAATACATATTATTGTATAAATTCAAGTTGTTACAGTGATACAGTTTTTCGTTTTGTCATTACTGGTCTAATGTTCTGTTTGTAGTTAAGTACAAAGCTACACAATGGTCTATACTCTGTACTGCCCACCACGGGTATCCAAACCCGGTTTATAGCGTTGCAAGTCCACAAACATACCGCTGTGCCCTTGGGGGCTACTGTTCTAATCTATAACAAGTAACGTGTATAACAAATGAACTCAAATAAGCGACAGGAGTTATTGAAATAACCTATATCTAAAATAAAAAATTTCTATTTCTCATTCTAAGTGCTTTTTACAATTACATACATCTCCAAAATTATTATTTTAAAGTTGAGTAACATTTTATAATAGTTATTAGCAAACATAGAAAATAATTCACATTGTTGAATTATGCTTAAGCCTTAAAACTAAACGGTCTATCATACAAAAAAATATCCCATTTCATTGCCAATTCTGCAAACCTTAGTAAATGAGAAATTATCACAATTTGAGAGAGATGAAGAACTATTCACAAATGTGGAAATGGAGTTTTCAACGTTTATCATAAATATTTATTTCAAACGATCCATTTTTATCACATGTGTAAATATAAGTAATACTAATTAAGATTATCACAACTTATTCGGTTAATTTGTACTATAAAGCTTGAGTTCATTAATTACATTTGAGCATATAAGTTTCTATAGATAAAAACCAAAATTATATCTTGATTTGTGTTATAACAAATCTATCTTGAAGTAGTTGAGTTTTAATTTGTAAACTCATAAAAAGCGAGATCTATTGGATAACTCTTTAAACTAACTTTTTTCTTTATCAAATGCTTACATTTAATTAAAATAAAGAAAATCTGGAGTGTTTTAACTATTCTAATATTTTACAATCTCTCTAAGTTGCCAATACAAATATGCTTATAAAAAAAAGTCCAATCTAAGAAATCATTATCAATAAACCCACAATTAAATTATTTACAAAACCAAGTTCTAACCTATTAGAACAAGTTTATAATTCTGAATCAAAGGTCCAATGGGTATTTGATTTTTAGAACTTTTTCGTTTTTGTTTTTTAAAGCATTGTTGAAAGCGAAAAGATGGCACTTAAATAAAAAGTATTTAACGTTAAAGAACAGTCCATATATATGTTTACATAAGTTTGTTTTTGTTTAGAATTTTCAAAGAATTTTTTTCTCTCTCAGTGTTTGCTGTTTTACACATTTATACTTTATAGTAGACCTCGTGGGAAAATATTAATTCAAACTATTTGATTTTTGTAACTATAATTTTATCAATTATCCTGTGATATAATCATTATTTTACTAATATTAATTCAACCTATTTGATTTTTGTAACTATAATTTGATCAATTATCCTGTGATATAATCATTATTTTACTCAGTTTTGTATTTCAGATTTTCTATATTAGATAACTTCCCTAAAACGAAACATCACAAAAACTTCCCTTCACAGGATAGTAATACTAGGACAGCGCTCAACGTGCTAGTGATTTTGAATGCTTAATGTTAAGTTGTCAAGGCTATGTATTTAGGCTTAACTTCGATATATATAGGTGAAACAAATGTCCTAATTCTGTCGTTTTTTTTCTTATTAGTCCATATATATGCGATTTTTTTCAAATAAGCGATTATTGACTGAGGGCAGTAAAATTAATTTTAATTTTATCTGCGATTCGAAATTTTGATTTACAATTCGAAAGAGTATTTTGTTCATGTTATTCGTGACTTCAATGCTCCTTTGTGTTTCTCCAAATAACATCACAAAGTGATTTAAAAAACGCATAGAATCGTTTACTGTAATGATATGCAAAACTGAAAAAGACGGGTCTCCTTCAAATAAAGTAATAAATTTACGGAGAAAATCCTAAGATTTCACAGTAAAAGACTGGAGCATTCCGATGTAACCTGAGTAGTATTTAGTACGTCAACCGAAGGGAAGTTCCGGGAGAGAGAGAGAGACAGCGAACTTCCAGCAATGTTAACCTGGTAACGAGTGCTGGAGAAAATACGTCGACCGACGAATGATGATTTTGGTCGGCGGCATGGCTGAGTCATAGACCGAGTGGTGAAACATCGAGAAGACGTACGGGTGATTCGTAAAGTTTTCGCGCCTAATACTGATGAGTAAGATTCACGAGTTAACTTTCCTGCAACTTTCTAAGAATAATGAGTAACGCGTGGTTGAGTTGCACAATTGAAAAAACAAACAACAACTGTGATAAGCCTTTATTTAACAGTTTTAAAACATGACAGACTTTCATTTCGAACCAAAGTTCTAAAGATACATTTGTAAAATCAAATTAAAAACTATTTAGTGTGAATAAGATTCCACTATAATTCTATTACAAATAGAATAAGATTCCACTATAATTCTATTACAAATAGAATAAGATTCCACTATAATTCTATTACAAATAAAAAATTACACATTTAGGGCTAGAAAAACAGGTGTTCTGAAGCTTATGTTGATCTTATTTTCAAGTTGATAAAAATATCAGTTGCGTTTATTAGTTTTTTTCCTCGAAAATTTTATGCTCACTTTCCTTGAAAATGAATACATTTGAAAGAACTCAAAGACAAAGGTGAAACATTGCAATACTTAATAGCATACCACTTCCACGTGACCTTCCCTACACCCATTCTGAAACCGCACCTGTCTGTCTTCTTGAGGTCTGTCTCTGTAACTTGTGTACCTCACCTAATGAAAGGAGAAAAAGGCAGTCTGTGACAGTGGTTAATTACGACGACACACCTGGTGTCAGGTAGGCGTCTGTGAACATGAAAAATAAAAGCACAAATATTTTGCGTGCGAGACTAATCTCAGCCACTTTAGTAACAACCGTTAAGACACCCTGACAAGGACGACTTGTCTAAGAAGCTTCGGTATATATATTTAATAAATTTTAAATACCTTACCTCACTTTCGCGGCTCAGTCTTCGGAACAGGTCATCTGATTCAAATTTCGCCTTCTGGTCTGCCACTACTCGCGGCATTTTAAAAACAAACCGATGAAGCTGATCGTATATGCTAGGAGTCTCAAAAGGAAGCATGTTGAATTCTGTCTATGCTACTTCTCTGACTGCAGCCACAACAAACTTATTTCAGTAGCTCCGCGCCAGCTTTTCGGTGCAGCCTGCAGCTCCTATTGGGCTACCAGGAATCACTTACTCACCGCTTCGGCGAACCGGAAACCGACGATTACCATATTGGGATGCTCGGCCTTAGGCTTCGGAAAAATAGGCGTGGTTTTTACGTCTGACGTCAAGGGATTATTATGTGGTTTCCCAGAAGGCAACACGATAGTACAAGAAACACCAGTACCGATGTGACGTATATATACATATATCTGCGAAAGTAAAAAAAAAAGCATGACGTCCTCAGAAGTCTGACGTATTCACGTGTTAAAATGTGTCAGCCGCTAGAACTATTCAGTGGTAAGTTGTGCTCGTGAAACGGGTTTTCCATAAGCACAAACAAGTAAAAATTGAAATATAACTGATGCAATACGGGTACTTCTTATGTAAAAACATATTTAAACTTACTTCTTTCTGCATGAGAGGATAATACGGTCTAGTCCAGGCTGAGTGCCATTTTTTAGTGTTTATTATTATTATTTTAATCGAAAGTGTAAAAAATGTAAACGATATTGTTTCTGGATCGAATAATAATAATAAACTAATATTGTAATATAATGTCTGTTTGTTTATGTTCAATTTCGTGCAAAGATACACCAAGTCTATCTGCCGGGCCGTGACATAAAGTCTTTCTTAGTAGGGCTGGCACAGGATCGACGTTTCGGTTCACCCATATTTGCCTTCAATACTTTGATCCAAAGCTCATTGAAACTATGCTATATTGCTTGTGTGTATATATTTCTACTTATATGTTGGTTGTCCAAATAACGGGCCACACAATCCACTAGGCAATAAACAACAAAAACGGTGTCTTTGACTTTTAAAGTTTAGATATTTGATTTTTGATATCAATCAGTGTATTACTCTGGTTATTGCTCTAAATAAGTTTTAATAAAACTAATTTACACCTCCGGATTTTGCCATGTTTTCCCTGGATTTTGCCATGTTTTCCCCGTACTCCTTGTGAAAGAATTAGCTAGGTCTAATATGGCATTTTTCAAAATGATTTCTACCTCCGGATTTTGCCATGTTTTCCCTGGATTTTGCCATGTTTTCCCCGTACTCCTTGTGAAAGAATTAGCTAGGTCTAATATGGCATTTTTCAAAATGATTTCTTAATTATGTTATGTTTTATTCAACTCCCTGTTTTTCTGTGATTCCTTATTACCTCCATGTTGATTCACTCCGTCTGTTGCCTACGGCTTTCGCTTCACACAAGTGGTTTGACTGTAATTGGGATTTTGTGGGTCGCAATGCGACCTTGTCCCGGGTTCATTTGCCGCCTCTTTCTTTTCGGAATTTCTGTATTTTTTTCTTTGGTAATATGTTTTCGATCATGTGATCCTCCACTAGCATAAAGCTGGACAGTCGTGACTTATATAATAAAGTTATATTCCATCTTATTTGTCTTCAGTTTTAATTATTCAGTAGATAATGAACACCGCCCCTTATTTCTTACCTGTGCCACCAAACTGCCATATGTTCTCTTCCTTGTCTGCACTTTTTTATACAACCAAGTGTCTTCCTTCTCTACGTTGTTTTTTATACAGCCACCATACTATTTTCCATGTGTACATTTTTGATCGTATATGCAACTATCATTTCGCCGTTTCTGTCTACTTTTTACCCAAACAATGAAATATAACGTCTTCTATCTTGTTTATAATCATATAAAAAATCAGATGCTCTCCCTTTATATATGATTCCACTTATACAGGGTGGGTGAGTCATGATTATTAGCCCATAGTATAGTAAAATAGAATATTTACTTTCAAACATATTCGGGCGTGGCTCAGTGGTCAGTGTGTCCAGACTGTGAATCTGATGATTAAGAGTTCGCGTCGCGTTGCTATGCACTTTGTTTGCCGTGATTGCTTTACAAAACAACGGTCAGATCCCACCCACTCTGCTGCCCAGGAGTTAGTGGTGGGTGATGTGAACTAGCTTTGACATTTTGTTTTCAGCATTTGGGCTTAAAAAGTGGTTGTGCACAGATAGCTCTGCTGTAGCTCTGTGCTATACAATTAAAACAGCAGTGGAAGTACTGAAGCTATCGCTAGTAACTTTGGCTACTTTAAGAATAATATCGCAACAACTGAGTTTCGAAAACGAGTGTCAGTCTTAGCTGATGATTCAGCAACGGTTAATAACCTTAAAGCATCTAATATAAAGCATATTTTATTTTAAAATATGACACAAACATCCAACTATACCAGGTGAGACTGTGCCCGAGTACTCTGATTGAGATACATAGGCTTAGGTAAGTTAAATTAAATATAAACGAGACTTCTTCAAGATATGTTTGTTCTTGTTAAGCTACGGAATGGATTTTCTGTGCTGTTTTACCACGGGTATCAAAATCCAATTTCTACTGTTATAAGACCTCAGAATTAGCACTAAGCCGCCAGGAGGTGGGGTAGGTGATTAAATATCTGATATAGGTTGTTTTGATCAAGATAATATTTGATTTTGTAAAACACCTATTCCCACCTAAAATAACAGAACTACATATAGCTTTATTTTATAGTTGTTAACAAATTTCAATGTTTTCAATATTCTGGGCTAAGTTCTTACGTAATGATTATTAAAATAACGTATTCATGCCTACAAACGCCGTCATTACCAATATAAGACCATACGTTTTATTACTAACGTATTGAAAAATAATCTATATTACCAAAGTTTTGAAATTATTTAAAACCGTTTTAACACAGTTTCCATAGCTTCTTAGCTTTTTTTTTGTGTGTGTGTAAGTGCAAAATTGTAGAATGATCTATTTACGAGAAGCTCATCTTAGGGATCGAACTTCGAATTTTAGAACTATAAACCCTCAATCCTATAGCCGAACTACCAGAGGATGAATTCTTTACGAGAATAATGTTCAGATATTAAATCAGTTATTTATTAATAATTAGTGTGTGTTTTATAAAATATAAAATTAAGATTTTTTTTTCGTCCAGTTATGAGCTTTATATTCACACTAGAAACCATGTTTCTCGAAAGATTTGGCAAATAAATTGTTACAGTTTCTTTATATTCTTGCGTTCGCTAATTCGGTTTCTTTGTATCACATCGAGAAGAACGGTTGAAGCTTCTCAAAGGAGGATTAGGATTATGCGTAACTTTGTTTATTTCATGGCTTTGATATTAAAAAAAAATCTTCTAACTGATTACAAAATGTGTATTAGAAAGCTTCACGGCTCTTACTTGAAGACAAGTTTTATGAATAAAAATTAACTTGTTATGACAGATATATTTTTGGAAATCGTTTGTGGCCAGTCACCTTTAATTGTTTAAACAACAGGCATAAAAAGGCTCTTGTGAAATTTGGTTTCTGATCTACAAGTTGATAACAATAATAATTTTTGACATAATTGTTGGTGTTTTCTTAGTACACATCTACACAATGGGCTATTTGCACTCCGCCCGCCGTGGGGGAATCGAACTCCGTATTTTAATATGGCACGTCCGTAAACTTACCGCTGACCCACCGGGGGACTTCACATAACTAAAATATAATTATAGTTTGTAGAGTTTATATTCTTAATGTATAAGAAAGTGTACATGCAAAACACTTCACTGATCCTCAACTTTATCTCCACACCACATATGTACGGAGAATAACACTTCACTGATCCTTACTTTATTTCCACACCACATATGTACGGAGAATAACACTTCACTGATCCTTACTTTATTTCCACACCACATATGTACGGAGAATATTACATCATATCTGCACTTTCTTCTGAACTCAATATAATGAAATATGAGTTGATATAAGAAATGTATAGCCGTCTTGCACAATTCCGTTTTCATGACTCCTGTTTCTTATAAAAGATAAATAAAAAGTTACGTGATAAACGAGTATTGCGCGATACTAGGACAGAATTTCTTAATAACGTGAAACATACTGACCACGAAACCACAATTCAGTGGTTGTAAAGTAACTTATATATATATATATAAATGCACACTCAAGTCACATGCGCCGTTTTACAGTAATGTTCTGAAATACCATATTAAATTTATATTCATTTTACATTAATAGGCAGAAGTTCCGAAATATTTATAATATATTTAAAAAAAACCAATAAGTTTACAAACTGCTTGGGGGACGGTTCTGTAATTATGACATATTCGGAGGAAACTTTGCGAGTGCAAAATGAAGTATTATTTTGGTAGTTTAGAAAGAAACTTCGCAAAATGTTTTGGGTCTAAAACTCTGACGTGGGCCCCGCATGGCCAGGTGGTTAGGGCGCTCGACTCGCATTCTGAGGGTCGCGGGTTTGAATCCCCGTCCCACCAAACATGCTCGCCCTTTCAGCCGTGAGGGCGTTATAATGTGACAGTCAATCCCACTATTCGTTGGTAAAAGAGTAGCCCAAGAGTTGGCGGTGGGCGGTGATGACTAGCTGCCTTCCCTCTAGTCTTACACAGCTAAATTAGGGACGGCTAGAGCAGAGCCCTCGTGTAGCTTTGCGCGAAATTCAAAAACAAACAAACTCTAACGTGAATAAATAGTATATATATATATAATTCAGTTGGTGTTCATGGTATTTGACAGTTTTGTCTCTGAAAGCTCACATGGAAACCAATAGATAACTTTAAATTGAACTTACATTTGAGTTTGTTGCCCTATAAAACAAGGGAACTCGTTCATGATCTTTTTTGTTTGTGTGTTTGTTTTTCTTAGGTGCAGTAGTGTAGGGAATTGGTTTTGAACCATTTTAAAAATGTACACATGGTCTTCTGTTACCCAGAGGCTCAGTAACAGCTAACTAGATGATTTATTCTTTAACATCATAACATTCCGTTACTTAGAATGCGAAACTACGTGCAACACGAAATACGTAACTTCGGTGTTGGCTGTAGTTCAAAATAAGATATGACTCTGTTCTCGGTAATTTCCTTTTAATAGTAAGAGCGATACTTTTAAGAAAAAAGGAGACTCATTCATATATATATATATATATAC